TTGGTTGCTGCGTTAGCCCCAAAACACACAGTCACTGCGCTTTACAGCATATCCTGTGAAGCACTTTGGGATGTGCTCATAATGTGAAAAGCTCCATCCAAATGTAAGGATTATTATTAGTTCGTGAAAAAATCCCTTTGGGGCACTATCCCGTGTGAAGGGGGCCTATATAAATTAAAATTGTTGTCGCTTCACGGGAGAGCTACTAACTTCAGGTGAGATTTTCGTGAGATGCTACTTTGTGATCAGAAATAACTGTGGTGATGCTGAGATCATCAGTCCAAACATTGGGTAGAAGCCATCTCTGTCTCCCAACCTTGACTAACCCCCTCATTCCACCCTCTGCGCCATATCTCCTCTCAGTTTCATCCCAACGAGGGATGACTGTTGACTGTTGGTACAGTCAATGAGGAAGGTCTTCAAATACGGGGAATGAGCAGCAGACCAGAGCCAGCTCACTCTGATGTCCCCAAGCCTTGGCTCTCGCCAACCCACACCTAATATTCTCCTAATATTCCTCCTGGGAGAAAATGCACATTTATTGCAGACGTGGGACAGTTTCCATATGCAGGAGAGATACGTATGTGGAGCTCTCTACCTGGTTTGGATACTCTTTGAGGAAGCATTTCGAACCTTGTGTATTTTTATGGCCTTGTGTCCCATGTTGTATCACAGAGAGGGAAAGGCCTCCTTTTACAGTACACAGTGACCCCCTGACAAACTGCAATCCCCGCCCCACAATACCAACACTGAGGAAGACTTTTTGAGAGGGAACAAGGACCATATTCAATACAGTCACACCCAGAGAATTTCTCGCACTGAGGTCTTGTCGGACAGACGTGATTTCTTTTCAGTTTGTTGCATTCCTGGACGCTATCCCGTGTGAAGGGCTAGTTGTTGTTGATCCTGTGTAGAATCGAGAGACGTTGCTTTCTAAGAGACAAGCCAAGGATTGCTAAGGGTATTGTTTTGAGTTGAGATGTGTCATTTCTCATTATTTGGAGGAGCGTTTGGGAAGAGGGGGTGGGGGCGGTGGGGGGGTGGATGGGGGAGCAGAGTGGCAGGAAATGAGTCTGGAATGTAGTTGCTCCTTAATAGTTCACATTAAGAGCCAACAATCAAAGAGTTGTGCTCCCACTCGAAGACGTTGGCTGTGCTGAGTTCTGCTTAGCCTAAATGGCGTCATTGTGCAGGACTGTGGCCAATTAGGTTTTGCTGATAAATGTTGACCTTTATGTAGGTTTTGTTGTTGAGCAACGGATCCCAGAGTTACAGCATTGTGCAGGGACCTCACTTCATGTGCCTGTCAGTTCCATTTAATCTGTAATTTGTCTTGTAATCTTAAATTTACTGTAACCTGTTGTTGAGCAGCGACTGGAATCCAGAGTTAATTGGTACAACTCAGGAAACCACTGAGAGTCTCGTGAGGGAGACTATTTGATGTCTTATATAACTTGTATATTTTCCCATTGCCTTGCATGGCTCCAACTGTTCACATGGTTCAGGCCAGAGAGCTAACAAGAAATTAAGTTTGATGGGGCCTTTCACGTCAGGAGGACGTCCCGAGATAGTCCTGGATATGGACCTGAGATGAGGGTTGGGATCAAGGTGGATCAAAGGTGCGGTCGAAGAGGAGGGTCTTGAAATGGGCCTTGAAGGAGGCGAGCGAGAGAGGCGAAGGGACTAGGGTTGGAATTTCAAAGGGTGGGGGAAGAGAGGGTGAAAGCTCAATGGTGTGGGCGGGCCGGGAGAAGGGCGTGGAGCAGACCGGAGCCTGCTGAGCGGAGGGAGAAGACAGGCCCATATGGGGTCAGCAGGTCACAGTGGTGGGGGGAGCAAAGCCGTGGAAGACTTTGAAGAAGAGAACGAGGACTTTGAATGCTATCCTCTGGGAGATAAATAAATATTCGGACCATCCTAAATGGGCCTGTAGATACCGAGGGCCAGGGAATCCTGGAGAACTTCTAGACCTGATGCGGAATTGGTGGAAATGAGTGTTCCGTGAAGATCGGGAACCCCAAGAGAAATCTCACCACTATTTTGTGACTGTGCAAAGAAATGCAATGCCTGACCATATCTGGAATGGAATCGTTGTGGAACTTAACACCAAGAGGGTGCGCGCGTTTAAAAGAGCAAAAGGCAAAATACTGCAGATGCTGGAAAACTGAGATAAAAACAGAAGTCATGGGAACAACAACAACAACAACAGCAACAAGATTACACTTGTAAAGCGCCTTTCACGTCGGGAGGACGTCCCAAGGCGCTGGACAGAGTACAGCATTTCAGACCCGAGCTGGGGTGGGGGGGGTAAGGGAGGGGAGGGGAAGGGGGGTGGCCGATGGCATGGTCGAAGAGGAGGGGCTTGAGGCGGGACTTGAACGAGGCTAACGAGGGGGTGAGGCGGAATGACTGGGGGTGGAATTCCAGAGGTTGGGGGCAACACTCAGCGGGCCAGGCAGCATCTGTGGAGAGAGAGGAAAGTGAGTTAACGATATAAATATTGAAATATTGAGCAAGTTTCCTTACTCCACGCGCCTCTGTTTACCCAGCAGTAAGTAGGAACCCGGTTGTTAGTCGATTCCTTTAAAAAAATAAAAATAATAAGAAATACGGTCACTCAATCCACGACTCGTGGGGACGCTGCTGTGCACAATTGGCTGCTGCGTTTCACCCACAAAATATACGATCAATTCACTTTACAGTATATTCTGTGAAGTGCTTTGAGACGTCTCAAAGGTATGATCAGGCGCTACAGCAGATGCAAGGATTATTATTCTTATTATTATCTTGAAGCGAACATGCTTCAAGGTCAGATGTAAGCGGCTGAACGGACAATTGAGCCAAGCCTTGAGGGAGCTCAACAGGAAAATCAAGCTTCAAACTTTCTAACGATGATGTTTAATTTTTGGCAACTGAGTCTATTATTGAGTTCACATCGAGAGCTGACATGTTCTCAAAAAAATGTTCTCTTTTATGCAGTTTTCCACTCAGTGTGAATGTCTTTATTGTGCTAAATTGTTACGCGATATTGTCCAGGATTCCAATTGCTCATGAATCAGCGCTGCATTTATTGCCTCAGTCCTGTCGGAAACTTGGAAGAGAAAAATGTATTTGATTGTAATCTCGGTTCTTCATGCAAATATGTTTTTATGAATAACAAAAGGAAAAAAATCCCCAATCTGAACTGTTTTATTTCAACAAAAGGGGGCTTTGTGAGGATTTGCAAAACTGTAAAGTGAATTGACTGTATAGTTTGTGGACGAAACGCTTAATAATGGTATTAATAATAATAATAATAATGGTATTAAGCAGCTTTGTGGTGCTATGCAAGGTTTTTAATGCCTATTTGCTATTATTAGCATGCAACAAAATATAATATTTCCTGCTTTGAACAATTGGTGTGTCCTCTTTTTTGTTGTCACAACACAAACACTTCACACGACACGAGATGGTTCTCTGATCTGCTGATAGGACATTTTGTGTCCTCCGACCCTTGAGACTGACCAGCCCGGTTTGGGTTAAGTTTCTCTGTTCTTCAAACTTGTGAATATTCGAGACTATGAGTCGAAGCAGGGAAGCAATACATAATAATCCTTGAATTTGACACAGCAATTCATCAAGTCATTGAAACATCACAAAGCTCTTTGCAGGTGAAACAAAAATAGATCTTTCGCTTCATGACTGTTTGTGGGGACGCTGCTGTGAGCAACTTGGCTGCCGCGTTTCGCCCACAAAATATACAGTCACTACACTTTACAGTATATTATGTGAAGCGCTTTGAGACGTCTCAGCGACGTGATCAGGCGCTAAATGAAATGCAAGGATTATTATTCTTATCATTATTATCTTGAGAGAATTTGAATTCTGCGTGTTAAAGTGTAAGGAAGCCAATGATGTTTCGGGGGTTTAATCTGTTGTTCACTCTGTTAATACTCTTGTCTCCAGATATGAAAGTTATCCTAAACTTGTGTTATTGCATTGTTTTGGTGATTGCTCCTTTCCAGTATCGGTCCATTAGCAAAGTTCGCCCACAGCAGTTTTGGAATATGCGAAGGGAAGCCTTTCATCTTTCTCTGGCTCGGAATCCAGACAATAAATAAGCAGTATAAACACAACTATGTGATACATTGGGCTCAGCAAACACTGGGCTGCTTCACGGCCCCCACCTGATCTCTCCCACCATTGGTGGGCGAGCTTTCAGCTATCCTGCCCTCACTCTCTGGAACCCAATCCACCTCGGCCCTTCCCTCCCTGCCTTCAAAGTGCAGCTTAAGACCCAGCTTGGGCTCCCCGACAGCTTCGTGAAGGGCTTTGAGACATCCTCCCAATGTGAAAAGAGCAATACAGACGTCAGTTTTTCTCTCGCACGCTGATTCGAGGCACCAGGGATCTTTCTGACATGTGTTTCTAATCACATTAACCAATATTCCATTCCTGCCCCCACCCTTTGGAACTCAATCTCTCGGAGTCCCTACTGCTCACCTCCTCCCTCGCCTTTTTGAAAGCCTGTCTCGTAACTTAACTCTTTGACCGCGCATTCAGTCAACTCTTCCCCTTCAGTTCTCCTACTCCAGCTCGGATGCACAGCCAGCTGTGCGAAGGTCTTTGAGACGCCCTCCTCATGTGAAAGGAGCTCTATAAACATCAGTTGCTGCTGTTGTATCGCACACTGATTCCGACAACAATCATCTTTCTGACATGTGTTTCTAGTCAGTTTCCTCACGATAGTCTCGGTCTCCAGTGATGCAAGCCGCCACCCATGGCGTGGGTTGACTTCCTGTGTAACCAGAAGTGTGCTGGGGATTTTGTTTACGTCTTGTTGATTGCTTCAATGGTGTTGGAGTATTTCAGATAGAATATTTTCGGTCGAGCTGGTTCTACACATGTTTCAGATTAAGTATGAGCTGTTGTTTGGCTCATTCTTGACTTGAATAGTTCTTCGTTGAAACAAGGGACAGATATATGGTGGCGTTTAAGATAATCGATCCCCTTTGTTCCAGAAGCTGACGCATCCGGTGGGTCTGGTTTGGGAACTGGAGCTATTGTCGGAATCCTCATTGTGGTCTTCCTCATCCTGCTGGTTGCTGTGGACGTCACCTGCTACTTCATCAACAAGTGTGGGCTGCTGATGTGCATTGCCGTCAATTTCTGTGGACAGGCTGGCCCTGGATCGAAGGGCAAGGACATCGAGGAAGGGAAAGCTGCCTTCTCGTGAGTGGTGTCCATTTCGAAAGATCCCAATATGTGATTTAGCCAAATTAATGACCTCAGCCAGCTTGGCTCAGTTGATAGCACTCTCAGCCGACTTGTGGGTTTAAGTCTCCACGTTGAGACTCTTGAGCTCACGTAGTCTAGGCTGGCACTCCCATCACTGAGCTGGGGGTGCATTGTATTATCGAGGATGCCATCCTTTGGATGAGACTTTATACCAAGGCCTGTCCAAGTACAGGTCTGTACAGTTGGATGTTACAGATTCTGTGGCAGTATTTGAAATGAGAACAGAAACAGCAACAAGATTACATTTGTATGACGCCTTTCAAGTCAGGAGGACGTCCCAAGGCGCTGGACAGTGTACAGCATTTCAGATCCGAGCTGGGGTCAGGGGAAGAGGGAGGGAAGGGGGAGTGGGGGTGACCAATGGCATGGTTGAAGAGGAGGGTTTTGAGGCGGGACTTGAAGGAGGCTAAGGAGGGGGCGAGGCGGAGTGATTGGGGGATGCAGTTCCAGAGGTTGGGGTCAGTGTGGCTGAAGGCTCTCCCGCCAATGGTGGGACGGGTGGATTGGGGAACGTGGAGCAGGCCAGAGCCGGCTGAGTGGAGGGAGCGGGCGGGTTGGTAGGGAGTTAGGAGGTGACAGAGATAGGGTGGGGCAAGGCCATGGAGGGCTTTGTAGTGAGGACCAGGATCTTGAACTGGATCCCCTGAAGGATAGGGAGCCAATGGAGTCGGACGAGAATATGGGAGATGGGGGTTCACGGCGTTTGGTGCGGGAGAGAACACGGGCTGCAGAGTTCTGGTTTATCTGCAGCCTGTGGAGGGAAGAGTTGGGAAGGCCGACACGCAGGGCGTTTGCATAGTCGAGCCTGGAGGTGATGAAGGCATGAACAAGAGTTTCATCGGCCTGAGGGGTGAGGTAGTGGTGGAGTCGGGCGATGTTACGGAGGTGAGGGAAGGCATAGCCGGTCATGGCTTGGATGTGGGGAAGAAAAGACAGTTGAGGGTCAAACAAGACACCCAGATTCCTGACTGGCTTGAGAAGGGAGTCTCTCCTGGTGTTCCCGGCCGGCAGTCCCCCAGAAAATTCTGCAAAACACTTGGTGACAATTGATAAGGCACTATATCACATGCAATGATTATCATTATTATACTGTCCATAATAATTATAACTATACAATAAAAATAGTAACACGATGGCTGCGTGTTCCCTGGCTTTGTGCCTTTTGGCAAATGAATCAGGGAATTGTTTGCGTCTTTAAAATGGTGTCATCCTCAAAAGATAAAGTTACATATCATATGTGTATTCAATACAATCTTAAATTTGCCGACCACCACAAAGTCACTCACTACACTTTGCAGTGGATCCTGTGAAGCGATTTGAGACATCCTCCCGATGTGAAAGGCTCTATCTCGAATTCCAGGATTATAATAATCTGATTTTAAATTCGAAGCCACTCCCAACATCTTAAGTTGTAAAACTGCTTAAAATGGATTTTGCGTTGTCGGTTTATAAATGCCACAGAGGCAGATTTGCTGTAAGCACCAAAAGAAGCAGAAAGCATTTATCACACTTCAGCAAATTATTTTACACAGACAAATATGAAAGTAGGAACATCATGTTAAATTTGCATAAAAACTTGGTGAGACCACTTTTGGTGGTAATTATATTTAAAATTTATATTTTAATGGTAATAATCCTTTCACTTGATACAGCGCCTCATCAGGTCTTCGAGACGTCTCAAAGCGCTTCACAGAATATACTGTAAAGCGAATTGACTGTATTTTGTGGGCGAAACGCTTGCATTGATATAGTCTTTCGCTTCTCAAAACTCTTGACGTTCACCTACAAATACCGAGTCGCTACACCTCATGGTTTATTAGTTATTATTGTTATGATATGATTATCAATATTAATATTTTATTGTAATGTAAGTGCAGTAGTTATTAGAATAGTCTTGTCATTATTATTTCGCTATGTAGCAACATAATCAATACTAACAATCCTTGCATTCGATTCAGCGCCTCATCACGTTGTTGAGACGTCTCAGAGCTCTTACGGTGAAGGGCAGTGATTCTGTATTTGTAGGCGATCATCCCTTTGCCTTCGCTTCTCCTCCCCATATTTGAAGCTGATGCCCTGTTTACGCCTACAGTAAGGATGAGTCAAAGGAGCCCATCGTAGAAGTGAGGACCGAGGAAGAACGGACACCAAACCATGATGGTGGAAGCCAAACGGAACCCAATGAAACCACACCATTGACAGAACCTGAGTAAGTAACTAGTGCATGTGGGTGTGCGGAGCTGGTTTGCATTGTGCTTTCTACAGTGTGTCCACACATGTAATGATTTCTTCTGTGCTTTGTGACTTACTTGTAAATGCCATGAGTCACTGAACTGCACGCACGTTTCCCATTTGACTTCTGTTCACGTCTCGTCGCTACTTCTCAACCCAGAATAACAGGGCATTATTGTACGTCCTTTTGATGTGCGGAAGCAAGGGAAACTTGAGTAACAGAACCTAATAAAAGAGCGGTAACAGTTCCGTGGTTTGAGGCACTGTGAAGGGTCTGCCTGACTGTGTGGTTGAAAGTGAACTGAGAGAAATGAATCAAGCCTGACATGACATCTATTTATTTACACATGCTTTTTAAAAACATCTCTCCGCTTGCTTCAAACTGAGTTCATCAGCAGAGTTGCATTATTTACCGTTTGACCGAGAAATGTGTTTTTAGAAATAAGGAAACTTCTTTCACTTCTCCCGCTCCCCTCCCTTCTGCCCACACCCTTGCCTACTCCCCCGACACACACCCACGCACATGCACGCAAGGTTGCTGTCGGATTAAATCCGATCCCAGAGAATTGCCTTCTCGAAAGTTTGCTGGTTTGCGGGCGCGGGTTTCACCGCGAAGCCTGGTGCGCCGGGTTTCATTCGGGAAAACAAATGAAAGTCGATCGGTGGATCCATCTCAACGGGCAGGCTTTGTCGTTGAGGCCGGGACAATTTTATAGAACAAAAAACAAACTTGCCTTGAATCATTTCCTTCAGTTGTTTGTGTTGTGAAGCTTTACCTCTGTGCTGTAACTAGCGTCCCGACAATCCTGCTTTCAAACCCCTTCCCCCCCCCAATATGAATCTTGTTTTAATGGTATCTGAGGCCACGTGTGGCAGCATGATATAGTCTTTGTGTGCTTTTTTTGCTTCTCTCTATCACTATTGCTGTATTGTCTGTTCTATCCATTTTCTACTCCTGTTATCCTCACAGGCACGCAACAGACACCCAGGCTACTGTCGAGGACATGTTGCCTTCTGTCACCACAGTAACAACTAACTCTGACACTATCACTGAAACCTTTGCTACTGCTCAAAACAGCCCGACTAGTGAGACCACCACCCTCACTTCGAGCACCGCACTCCCGGCCATGACCACCCCCGAACAGTCTGAGGTCTCTTCTGCTCCTCCGACCCACCCTCCCAAGGCAGCCGCGGACTCCCCCGCCTCGCCTCCCTCCGCACCTCAAACCCAGGTGGCCCCCAAGATCGCTCCCCTTGTGGATCTCAGCGACGCCCCGGGTTCCACTTCTCCCGCTGCCTCTTCTGCCCCCGCTAACGCTGCCAGTTCCAAACCGGCCTCTGTTCTTAGTCCTAGCGGAGGCCCGGCGGCAGTGGAGAGCTCCAAGGCTCCCGCTAGCAAAGCGTCTGCCCCGACCCCTGGCCCCGCCAAGCCCTCCAGTCCCCCAACTGCACCAGAGCCAAAGCAGGCCAAGCCAGAGACTCCAAAGGCTACTACGAAGAGCCCAGAGACAGAAGCTGCAAAGCCAAACCCAGTGAAGAGCCCAGTGGAAGCATCAGTTAACTCCACCAGTGTGAAGAACGAGGCTGCTACAGACAGCAGCAAAAAACCCTCCCAGGGTGAGGACTTTCCAATGGATGGTGGGACCTTCAAGACCTCAGACATTGACCTTACAAAAGATGTTTTTGCAGCTCTTGGCAATTCTTCTCTTTCCACTGTGGTTGGCGAGCAAGCTCCTGGCCCTGCTCCTTCCATTGCAGACGCCTCTTTACCACCTGCTCCAGCAAAGGAAGAGTATGGCTGTTTTTCACACTAAAGCTTTTCGCTTGTATCTGTCTGTTGTGACGTAGCTACGCTTCCATGTGTTCTCTCAGCTCCTGCATGAATACCAACTAACACTGCTAATTTTACAAGGGACGTAACGTTTTATTATTCAAACAGAATTAAGATTGGGCTTTGATTGAACATTGTAAAACTACTTTTGATCACGTTCCTCTGATAGGTTGGTCGGTATGTCTCGAGGCCACACAGACCAGAAATCACAGGTTTGAATACTTGTGTGCGTGCTATGTTACCTAATCCTCTTCTGGGCGGTTATCAGGGATATAATTGACTTTAGCGGCTCTGTATCAGGGAGGGAAAAATCGGACAGGTTACACGGGTTTGAGAAGGTAAACTCAGAACAATGCTTTCGGATGAACCGAGACAGCAGAACAAAAAGTACATAGATTTAGGATTACAAAGGGCAATTTCAGGATAGACACCAGGAAGTATTTCTGTTTATCCAGAAGGTAATTAACGACTGGAATGGGTTATCAGGAAAGGTGATCAAAAACAGCTTGATGCTGTGATGAAAGAAATGGTAGGATGAGATTTCCAACTCCTTGAGTTACTTTTTGCCACAAAACGATGCAGTCAATTCACTTTGCAGTATGTTCTGTGAAGCGCTTTGAGACGTCTCGACGACGTGATAAGGTGCTTTATCAAATGCAGGGATTATTATTATTATTATTTCTAATTGTAGATTTTCTTAACATTTGCATTTCATGCTCGCAGGAGTTGAGAGAGAGTTTTTGAATGAAATCTGCCGCAGATGGTGGGGAGGGACGGAGGGATGTTTTCCTCTCGTTGTGGGAGGCAGGCACTTAGCAGTCAGTTTTGTGTTTTACAACAAAAGCCAATATGAAATTAACAACCCTCCAGAATTTATGTGTTACCAGGTCCCGACTGATCCGGATCAAGCCACTCTCTTGGCTCAGGGAGCTCACACACCTACGATTACGTTGTTAACAAAAACAAGCTGTATTTATACAGTGCCTGACGCACAGATTAACATCTCTGAGCGCTTTTTAGAGATGGTGCCTGACACTGAGCAAGGGGGCAGGAAAGGGGGAGAGGTCTTCAGGCTTTTGAAGACGTATAGAGAGGGGGCGAGACAAAAGGGACAAGGGAGGGGATAACAGAGGGTGGGGGTATAGCGGCTGAAGGCTCAGCATACAACATATAAAACAATAATTCTAAGCCTTTTTGTTGTCATTCTCGTGCCAATCCACATTTGTCAGATGTCGAATGACCAGCTCATGACTATTTTCCTGGGGGTGGAGGAGGGGAACAGGGTCTCCTTGGAGCTGAACCGGCTCTAAGGTGACATGTTTAGCAATTGAATCTCAGAACCGAGCCCACCTTCTGTGACGGTCTCCAGTTCCTGAGCCAAGGCGGGTTTGCAGTACTCCAGGGGGCTGAGGATGACAGCATTGCCCAGCCTGGCTCATCAGCAGGATATGGAAGTGCAGATCAGTCACTGAGAGCAGAGATTCTTCTCACTCAGCTCCTGTTAACCCTGTAAGTACAAAAAAACTAACCGTTAGGTTAGGCCAAGTGGACAAGCATCGGGAATGTTTGCCAGGCAGTGCTATCAATAGCAAGTTTGCAACTCTAGCCGATTAGACTCTTGCAGCACTTCGGCACGCACTCTGGGGGCCACAAGCCTGGGCTCGTGCCAACCTGCGCCTAATACCCTCTGGAATTAGGTAAGGAGAATGCATCCCTCCAGGGAGAGAGTGCGCATTTCATTCCGATACACATTTCTGTAATGTCCATCTGTAGTTGGGATGTATGGAACTCTCAGTTTCGTTTGGATACTTTTAAGTAATAGTGATGGGTTTCCGCACGTGTCAGACACCCAACTGACCAAACAAAACACAGCATTTCCCTTGAAAACCTTGAAACTCTGGTGTCAACAAGGAGATGGTCAACTGTTAAAATCAGTGAAGACACAGAGAAAAACCTTTGGCTTGTTCCTATACTCAGATTTGCTCCCTTAAAAACAAGAAAGCTTGTGTTTTCATAGCACCTTATCGCATCAAAACATTTGTGACTCGGAAATAATTGTTACAAACAATCGCTAGACTATTTTCATGGTCTAATGGGGTAAAGGAAATGTTTATTTTGTCTTAAATCTAATGAAACGTTGATGTGATCAGAAGTTTCCAAGGAATTTAATATATATCCATTGTTGTGTTTAATTGCTGGAAATAGAAAAGGAAACCAACTCAGATTCTGTCACCATCAGCTGGTTTCTCTAATGAAGCTGTGTATTCCCAATTGCTCACTCATTCACACACCCTTTTAATATTGTTCAAATACGCCCTATTTGGTGTCCTACGCCCTATTAAAAAATGTTATGGTCATGCCTTCAGTTGTCAATTTTGATAAAAGCAGCCCCTGGTCAAAAATAGTATCTGTGCTTGTCTTAGATCTAATGTCCAACTAGTGACTACCTTCCTGGAGAAGGGAAGGGAAACAAGATCTCTGTCGTAAAGCAGGCTGCTCCTGAGTGACACACTTGAAAACAGAATATTCCTTGGGTGACCCATTGAATGACCCAGAATCTTAAAGGGACCATATGCGAACTTACATAACGATCATAGAAGAACATAAGAACTTAAGAAATGCTGGACGAAAAAAGACCAAGGTCCATCTTGTTCGCCTTCCACCTTCCTGGCGGTCGCCTGCACATATGCCCCAAACTAATAATGTTCTATATCCCATAATGTTATTTCCTCATCTTAGCATCAATATCAAACTGAGTAACAGTAAGAAAACTAGGGATGAGAGTTTCAGAATGTTGTCTCTAATAGGGAATATAATAGGGACTAAATAGGATGGAAAGGATTGCTCTTCACAAGAGCAGCTTAGTCACAAAGGGTCTAAATGACCTTCTGTGTGCTATAAATTTCCACGTTTCTAAGTATGAAACCGGGGAAAGAGGGATAATAATCGACCTGGGTCTCAATTTAAAATAATAAGAAGATTCCTTTCATCTTATCATGTCATCGAAATGTCTCAGACGCTTCACAAGATTTTACTGCCAAGTGTAGTGACTGTATATTTGCAGGCAAATTTACTCTGTTGACACAGCATTTCACGGAGAGCTCAGAATTTGGCAAATTCTTTAACGCAGCCTTAATTTGAAATCTAGTTTCTGTAAATTCTTCGTAGGGACTCTAGAAAAAACGACTTTGAGGTTAAAACTACTTTCAAGAATTTGCCACATTTTTCAGTTTGAAACGCTGAGAAAATAGAGGACATCGAGATCAGAGTTGAAGGGATTTCTTCCCCCAGATGCTTTTCAAACCTCTGATTCAAGGCTGTGTGCAGCAGGACATGTACAATCAAGTACACATGTACACTTTGTTCTACTGATGCGAAGCAAACTTGTAGTGATTGTAACATAAGCGCTGTCGTGTGGCCTCGGAAACTTTAGAATGACTTTGTTAAGGATTGCAGTTAGTTTTCCTTGCCCAACCTGCCCTGACTTGAGCCATGCAAAGGTACGGTTCCGTGGGTGTACCTCACTCCATTCATTGTGTCAATGAGCCGGTTGTCTGCTAGATGTTGTCCTTGCCAACAATCCTCCAGATAAATTGCCATAAATTGCCGTAGAGTCCTGTAGCTCAGTGGTTAGAGCACTCGCTTTGCAAGTGAGAGACCTGAGTTCAATTCCAGGCAGAGGGCGAAACCTTGGGCAAGTTTCCTTACTCCACACAGAGCCTAATAATAATCCTCCAAAACCAAAAACAATAATAAATTGGTCATTTTCAATCTACGACTGTTTGTGGGACATTGCTGTGCGCAATTGGCTGCCGCGTTCGCCCACAAATATACAGTCAATTCACTTTACAGTGTGTTCTGTGAAGCGCTTTGGGACGTCCTCCTGACGTGAAAAGCGCTATATCAAATGCAAGGATTATTATTATTATTATCCTTTTCTCGGCTGTTTTTGGGCCACTTGCTGCGTGCAGACTGGCTGCCTTCTCTGCCAACAGATACATCACACTTGACAGCAATTATCTGCAAAGTTATTTGAGATGTTTTTATCCTCCTCTTGTAAACAAAGCAGCTTGACACTATAATGGGGGGTAGGTTTTCCGGAAGGATGATATCAAATGGGCCGAAGGGACTTCTTTATCGAAACAATCTGTGATCTTGTAATTATCGGCACTATATCAAATTCAAGGAGAGTTGTTATGTACCCAGTGATTACTGACCTGTGGTATTAGCAGTTCCTGCTTCTCACTGAATCAATTTGTGGTATTTTTAATGGGATTCCTCAACAAGGACCCTTACGCACACAAATGGGGTATCCTTCTGACTGGACTACCTACAAGTTGACGGAACTCTTAACACAGAGGAATTCTGTTAACTACTATAACCACGATCATTCTTCCTGTATGTCACCAATTTTTTGGTGCTTTTTGGGGGTATTTGGATCGATATAAAGTGCATTTTAATGCAGCGGAATATATCATTGTCCATTGATTAATTCCTTTAGAGATATTGGTGGATAGTTGGGCTCAAAACAGAGTACCAGGGTTTGTCACCAAGGGGGTGATCTGAACTTGGAAGGAAATCGGAAAAGTTGCGGAATTCCCCAAATCACATTGGTGAGATTGAGTTTGTTCAACTTGGGATAAAATAACCACAACCATTGCGATGGTAACTTGCAACGAATAGTGGCACAACCAGTGCACACGTGTTATAACCCACTTCTTTATACCAGTGATTCCGTTATAATGTGGTTGTAATTGGCCGCTCACTAAAATGGCCGACTCTCAGGTCACCACCCGCATCACCTCCTGCTTTGCGCAGAGGAAGTCACATCATCGGTGATCTGATGACCAACCAAAAAGCGAGCCTTTTCTTTCAGCATGGGAACCGTGTGCAGTGAAACGAGTTATACACGACTCGGTTGTGGTAACCAAAGCACTGCATTTATAACGAGGCTCCACTCTACAGGTGTAGAGGAGAGGGACACGTTGTTCCTTTCAAAGACAGCAAAACACCACGCAAGGTTTTATCCACCGTTTTAAAGCAGAAAGGTTGCTTATCAGCGTCGGATGCAGAACCAAAGTCTGTCCGCAACGTCGGGGAAATATTCTTCGTCACGCAAATCGGTGCGCGATGTAACCAAGTCTGTGAATTCACTGAAGCAAAGTAAAGTGGAGAGATCTGGTCAAGATAACTACGGGGATAGACAGAGGTGCACACACTTGCACACACACTCACACACACATACAGTGATGTCTGAACTGTTTCCACACCCACAATGGAGCATCTCCCATCTACTGCACATCTCTGGCTCTCTACTGTAATGTGGTGTGATGTTGTCTTTAGATGTTGGTGGTCATTATAAAGCTGCATTTTTTTTCTAATGGTATTATCTCATCAGTGGAGCACTGACATGCTTCACGTGCAGTTTTGGTGGTCATGAAATACGTTCCCCGTGCCCTCGCATTTTGCTACCTTTCTTTTAAAATGTCCGGCTTTGTCGCGTCGTATCAATTCACCTCCTGTCGCTTTCTGCTCAACAGGAAAGTCCCACTGGAGGAAAAGCCCAAAAAAGAGGGGATCGAAGTGAAGACAGTCCCCAACGAAGCCACACAAACAAATGACAATGAGAGCAAAGCATGATCAAAACAAAAAAAGGAAACGTGAAAAAAAAAATCAAAAAGCATAAATAAACCAGTTTCCCTTTTCAGTGTCTTTTATCATTTTTGAAACCTGTTTTTCTGTTTGTAGATTTTCAGCTGAGAAACGGGGATGGAATGTGGCACACTTGCTTTTTTGTAAACTTTCTTGACTGAGAGAGTTGACCATGGCAAACCGAAATTGATACGTGTTGAAAAGAAAAAAACTACCGGGAGTACGTTAAATTGTAGTTATCATTTTTCACCGCGCTTTAGTAAAACTTGTGATTTTTAGAGAGAAAAAAAAAACGTGTAAGTTCCTTGGTTAGAAAGCACTAAACATATTCCCTATAGTTTCTTCCCATGTCGGTAAAGTGAAGCGTTGAATCAAAACGTTCTCAGTACATACCTGTAGAAACCGCCACCACTGATTTTTATCCTGTTACTTTTTTCCAGCTAAAACAAAAAAAAAAGTTACTGATTGAAACACAGCTTTATAAATTACCATCGTAAGGTTAGAAACGTGTTTGCTTCACTGTTCATACAAGTACATTTTTGTGCACCAAGCAATGCTATCTTAACCTGTTTCTTCTCGTTTTAAATTGTTTGCAAGTTTTGATCCTGAGTTAAGCTTTTGACTAAACAGAAGGTTTGTAAATTTGCATCTGTGAAGTATATTTCAATTTGCAGTATTCGATTTTATGAAAAAGAATCCTAATTTTTTTTGGCCAACTTTTATTTTCCAGTGTTTTGTTGTTTTAAGACCATAATTGTTTAACCTTTACATGTTATAATTGTGTGTAAATGTAACGGGCTTTGTAATTTTTTTTAAAGGCTTTTTTTTTAAAAAACAAACACATTAGTTTAGCCTGCTTGCTTTTGCAAAGGGATTTTTTTTTTTTTTTTTTTGAATGATCGGGTTTACAATACCTTTCCCCCTCCCTTTGTTAGAATATGCATTGCTTGCTTGCTCTGCTATCTGAATAGACTTTAGTTACTTCATATGGGTAGCGCACCATATTACGACCAGTTTACTTTATTAAAGTCTGATATACACTTCTGTTGTGTGTCCTTTCCCCCCTTTCTCAGTGCAAAATGCCCTGCATTCTTGTCAGTGCGGAAGGACTCAACGGGCACATTTCTGTTCCTGAAGTAATTTTTCAACCTCGTTTAGACTGCAAGCTTGTGCACTGTGAATGCGTGAATAATATAGTGTGAAACGTGTTTTTTGTCATAGTATTTCAAAGAGAAAATTCAGCGTAGCTTGGTTGTGAAAGGCGTAGAAAAGTAGTTCTGAAGATTGTGTGGGGAAAATGCCGAACCAGAGAAGAAGAAAACAATAATAATAATAATAATAATCAAAAGAAAAGGGGGCAGCAAACATGTTTGGGCATGATTTCCATGTGTTATAAGTTTTTTGCCTGTAATGTTTTAATAATGATGGTAAGACTGGGAGCATCGCCCTTTATGACGACCAAATGGGGCTTTACTGTTTCATGTACTTTAATTTTCTGTGCAGTCTCAGTCCAGTAATGATGGCATTGCTAGTTTGTAAGTTCAAACTGTGAAATACTGGTCTCGTCATTTGCTTCAAGTGTTTGCATATATTCAGCTTTAGGGATGACAGTGGAGGTGGCGTTATTAATCTCGCATTGAATAATCAGGACCTCACCTGCGCGCAGGTGAATCCGCGAGACTTCATCCCATCATGCTTTTGGAGACGTTCATTATTTCCAGCAAGCCACCAGGAACAAATGGCATTTTTTTTATTCCAATGCTGCCTTAAATCAAGCCCTATCTAGTCTAATTACCCAGAGATATTTAAGCCCGTTTACTCGCTGTCATTTTTTTTTTGCCGACATTAAAATGGGACCAAGTTTACATAGGCCATTGCAATCACATCGATGGCCTAATAGTGAAAGGTATGAATGTTTACTCCTAACGTGTGCCATCTATAGTGAATTTTCAGATGCCCTGGTAGAGAATTTGTGATGCGGTTTATATTGTAGGTATACTGTGTGTCGAACTAATTAGAGTATATGATAAAAAAGGCCTTACAATTTTCTATTATAAAACTCAAGGCTGGATTTCACCTGTTATATCCTACAAGAATTAACGTCTCCAACCTCCAATGTCATCCCTAGTCAGAATACCCTGCATTTAGGGCTTTCTCTTCTATTTCAGAACTTTTTAATTGAGTGAAGATTATACCATCTTTCCACTGTCACTGGTGTAAATACTGACTACTAACCAAGATTTTTGACCTTGCATTATGTCAGATACTTGTGTTCAATAAAAATTTAAAAAAATAAGACATTGGCTGCTGCGTGCATGCTTGAAAGCGATTTGCATCGATTTACATTTATTTAGCGCCTTTCAAATCGCTTCACACAGCCTTTATTGCATTTTCTTTGAGAGCAGAATATAATTTAATATTTTTTTATATACACAGATGGTGCTTGGAATTTCCTTTGTCACAATGCCTAGTCCATAACCCATGAATAAATAAATAATAACAATAATCCTTCCATTTGATACCACACCTTATTTTGTCTTCGAATCGCCTCAACGCGCTTCTCTGGATTTACTGTAACTTGCAATGACTGTGTATTTTGTAAGCCATCTAAACACACCATCTTACCCAAAGTAAGAATTAGAAAATAATATCCTGGGATACAGTATCTAGTTTGGGACACGGCTACTGCCAGGATGGTGGAAAGCGAACGAGATGGACCGTGGTCTTCTTCTGCCCAGCAAATGCTTATCTTCTTAACTCTTAAGAAACCCTAGAATGTGACTCTTTATGTGTTAAGCAAAGTGACAAGTTAAGAGGAGTCCGTTATTAACATTGTGCATGGGAAGCTGCCTCGATATTGAAAGCATGGCTGCATAGTTGGAAGTGACTAGTTAAGCCAATGTCTTCTTATCAGGAGTTGACTGTACTTCTAAGAATTTCTACAAATGCGATGAATTACACGTCAAGCGGAGTGACCAGTAAAGCAATGTCCCTTATTGATAGTTTAGATGGAAATCAGTGGGAATGTTGACGACATGACAACTTAAGTGATAGTGATGAGTCAGGATAAATTTATCACACCCATCTGCCTCCGCCTGTCCAGGTGGAATGTGGAAAATCCCGTGGGACTTTCACCCGGTATCCGATGATGGAATAATACACAACACGATCATTAAATGTCCTCTTGACTGACTATAAAGGTCAGATCTGTCCTAGTTATGCTTCAACAGAGCTGTAAAACACATTAGGTGTCATGAGTTACCCAGGCTGTGGAAAAGCACACAGCAGATCATCGAAGTCCCGTAATGACCACAGAAATGAAGAAGCCCACGACTTTTCTTAAAAAAAATTCTAAAAGTTATCTTTCAAATTCACCGAAGGAACGATAATATTGTATGTCGCAACATAGAATCTTACAGAACAAAAAGAGGCCATTCGACCCATCATGTCTGCGTCAGCTCCTTGAAAGAGCTATCCAACTCGCCTCACTCCTCCACTCTTACCCACAGCCTCGCAATTTTTTTCCTTTTCAAGTGCAAATCCGATTCCCTTTTCAAAGCTAGTATCAAATCTTCCATCACCCATCCAAGCAGTGCATTCCGGATCATAACAACTCTCTTAAGGAGTTAAAAAATAATCCTCTCCCCTCTGGTTATTTTGCTAATTATCTTATATCTATGTTCTCTGATTACTGACCCCCCCCACCACCACCACCACCATTTCAACAACTTGTTCCAACTGGTAAGTGCTCTTTGGTGTAAAGAAATACATCCATGTGCCTCGTCGCCTCTTTATCTTTAAATCCCACCTGAAGACCTGCCTCTTCGACCGTACCTATGATCACCTCCCCCTTCTCTCTTGCTTGAAGCCCAACTGCGCCAGGAATACAGTACTCCAAGACACCACCTTGTTGTCCAAAAATTGTTCTTCACAATGTGTCCTCTGGTCCCATTGCCATTGTTTCTGGAATTAAAGTCCACAGCAAAGGATAGGGACAGTTTCTGGGTTTGGGTTTGTTTTAAATCAGACCCAGAAGAATTGACTTGGGTTCCAACCAATATTAACAAACAAACTTGTTGCCTCCTGTCTTTTTCACCCATCATGTTGAGCTGGAGACAGGACTTTTACTTTTGGTACCTAACCTTTGCCAGAGAAACTCAAAACGAAAGAGAATATTTGGGTGTTTTGGCAATTCTGGCCTCGCAGATTGTGTGTATTTGTTCTTATTCAACATTTATTTTTGGAAAACAGCAAAAAAAAACAAATGAGTCTATAAATGGGTTGTGTCTGCCTCTTGCCTGAGAAATGGCTTCCTCCTGTTCCTCTGTTCCTATTAACTGGAAAGTGGAGTGACCATGCTCACAAAGGCAGATTGCTTTTGCGGTCAACCTATAATAAAATATCTGCAAATTAAAATAAAAGGGTTTATCGACCTCTGCATCTGTGGAGCCTGAATACCAACCCAGTTTATTTCAGTCTACGCCCTGCTTGGTACAGGAATAGCAACCAGGGCAGCTGTTCTTTGTGTTGTGAAATGCCAGAAAACCTTCAGCTCGGTTGGAGGATTCTCAAACGCGATGTACAGTGAAGCTGAGCGCTGGCAGGTGTCAGATTTCTTCTGTAGCCTTATCACACGGCAGGCTGTTTCTTTAAATACTGCAGAAGTGCACAGCAACAACAACAAAATTACATTTGTATAGCGCCTTTCACATCGGGAGGTCGTCCCAAGGCGCTCGTGGAAATCGAAAGCAGGGTCAAAGAGGGGTATTGAGATGCGTCTTGAAGGCGGTGAGGGAGGGGCGAGATGGAGGGACTGCGGTGTGGAGTTCCAGATGGTGGGGGCAAAGTGGCGGAAGGCCCCCGCTGATAGGGGGGACATGAAGCGGGTCGGAGAGGTAGGGTGGGAGCAAGACTGAGGAGGGCTTTGAAGGTGAGGACCAGGATCTTGAACTGTATCCTCTGTGTGATGGGAAGCCAGTGGAGTGAATGGGGGTGATAGGGTCGTGGAGCCTGGTGCGGGACAGGACACGGGGCTGCAGAGTTGTGGATGATCTGCAGCCTGTGGAGGGAGGAGTTGGGGAGGCTGACAAGCAGGGAGTTTGCATTGTCGAGCCTCGATGTAATGAAGGTGCGTATGAGGGTCTCGGGGGCCTGCGGTGTGAGACAGTGTCGGAGCCGGGCGACGTTGCGGAGATGGGGGAAGGCAGAGCAGGTCATGGTGCAGATGTGGGGTAGAAAGGATAGTTGAGGGTCAAACAAGACCCCAAGAATCCGGACTGGCTTAGCAAGGTGGAGTGTGCAACCATGGATGGTGATGCTGTCAGCGCCTGATGTGAGGAGGCGCTGACGGGAGACAATCAGGAGCCTCGGTCTTGTTGACATTCAACTGAAGAAAGTTAGCTATCATCCAGGACTTGACATCTGACAGACATTCTGTCAGTACAGTGGGTCCTGGAGTCAAGGGTGGAGGCACAGAGGTAGAGTTGGGTGTCATCTGCATACATGTGGAAGTTGACCCCAAGTCTGCAGATGATGCACAAGAATGAAAACGTAGAATAAACTGCAATACCACTGTCAATAATAATAATAATCTTTGCATTTGATAGAGAGCCTTATCACGTCTTCTAGAAGTCTCCAAGCGCTTCACAGAATATACTGTAAAGTGAATTGACTATGTTATTTTTTGTGGACAAAACACGGCAAACAATTGTGCACAGCAGTGTCCCACAAACGGCCATGGAGTAAGTGGTTAATTATTATTATTAGTATTTTTGGAAGGGATTATTAAGCCCGGAAAAGCGATATGCCAATCTACTGACAACCAGGTTCCTGCTTACAGCTAGGTAAACAGAGGCGTGTCGAGTAAGGAAGCTTGCCCAACGTTTCACCCTGCCGGGAATCAAACCAAGATGAAGCAAAATAAGTAGGTGGCAGTCCACAACTGCCAATTAATAGCAATAAAAATTCCCATTTATACAGCGTCTTTAATATCAGCTGGGTATAGCTGCTTGACACCTGGAGCCCGAGCTGGGGAGAGAACCGAATTGGGGGGGGGGGGTGGAGGCGGAGGAAGGAGGAATGTGGAGGAGGAAAGTGCTGAGTGTAGTGACTTATATATGCACAATGATCATTGCATTTCACGTAGCGTTCTTTCAAGTCAGAAAAATGTCGCAAAGCGCTGGCCGGGAGAGCAGGAGAAATTACCCATTTGTTTCAAATACCATCATGGCATCGTTAACATCCATCTCGTTCAAAGGGTCTCATCCAGCACTGCATCAGTGTCAGCCTAGACGAGGTGAATTCAAAGTATCCGATGTGGGACTTGAATCTACAATCTCCTGACTCGGGAAGCAAGAGAGCAAATAAATTGAGCCAGGCTGATGCGGATAAAACTTTTTATTTTACACAACCCATTTCTGGAATGAGCGGGGTCAGAGTGGCAGAAACCTTGACCCATGAAAGTTGAGCGGATCAGGATGGGCATTTCCTGACTTCTTTCAACGTCGTAATCACTTTGTGGCTCCAAAATCGCAGCCGGGATCTGGAAGGGACCGCAACAGGAAAGTCAACAAAAAGTGTGAAGCAAAATGGTTTGTATTAAAGTACTTTCATCTTCCGATTCCACTACATCACGGATTAAATCACAATGTTGTGTTTCAAATGGGTCAGCCCAACAACAGGATATGAAGCATGTTGGTCGGATGCATTGTTATCCAATAATTATTAATAACAATCGTAATAATAATCCTTGCATTTGATTCAGTGCCTTTCACGTTGTTGAGACATCTGTAAGGATATGCTGTGAAGTGGATTGACTGTGTATTTTGTGAATGAAACGTAGCAGCCAGTTGTGCATAGCAATGTCCCACAAACAGTCATGGATTGGGTGACCAATTTTATATTTGGGACATTTGTTGGCCAGGACACTGGGAGAAGCTCCCTTCTCTTTTCCATGGAATCTGTAACATCCACCTAAACAGGCAGACGGATCCTTGGTTTAATGTCTCATCCGAAGGACGGCACATCTGACAACCTTCTGACTCAGAGGCGAGAGCGCTATCACAGGCTGACAGTTCTTCATAGCTTATCCTTCCAGCACCAGTCTGACCATGTTACACTGACCAGGCATTAGAAATCAGGACACCTTTAGTTAAATGGAAATACATCAAAGTGACCCTCGGGAACTCTGATCTATTCCGAAAAGTCAATGGGAATTCTGCTCGGATTTCTTATTAAGACATCCTGTCGAAAAATACCAGAAAGTCAATCCTAGCATCCGCTGAAATCGAATCTCGG